AAAAAATATAATAATAGATTTTTTTATTTATTATTTGATAATTTAAACCAAATATATAATCTATATGAAAATCATTCAAGGTCATTTTAAATCAATTAAAATAAAAATTTTTTTAAAGTATTCTTCGAATACATTTATATTTTTTTTTGTTATTGTTTTTCTAATCGCTAAATTCCAGAATATAATTTACAAAAGTTACAGAACATAAATAATTTTAACATTCGATTATTGGATTAGGAAATAATAAATGTTCTTCAAATTTGATATCTCTTCTATTTCTAAATAATTCGTATAAGAACGTATAAAAAAAAGGTTGTTATATAATACATTTAAATAAAATTTATCATATAGTAATATTCATATAGTATTGTTTGTAATGTTTTAAATCACATATCATTAATTTGAATACTTTATTAGCAATGGACATATATTAATTAATATATTAATGAATATTTATATATTTCATATTTCATACTTAAATTATCAAAATATTAAAAAAATACCTTTAAGCAATATTATATTTCGTCTTAATTTTTAATTGATTTTCATATTTTATTTGTCTTGAAACTGCATTAAATATATAGATAAGAAACTATATCAAAGAGAATTGGTTTTTATATCTTCTCCATTTTTATGAAAATAATGATATTAGATTTTCCCTTATCTTTCAAAATTGCAATTTTGATTTATTCAATCTATTTCTTTTATCATCAAAAACTATAATCATCTATTCAAATAATTTGCTTTAAATTTTTATTCTATATAATCAATGGATTATTATTGTAATTGCAAGTTTTAATTGAGAATCAATTATTAAAATCTGATAATGATGTTTATTTCTTCTCGTTCATTCATTGTTTTATCTTATTTTTTTATTCCTCAATGAATAAGAACTTTAAATTTTTATATGATTTTTGATGAAATTTAGAAATGTTTTAAATATATAATACGATAATTGAATAATTATCTATATATATGTATATATAAAAGAACAAATTTTTTGTTTATAATTGTATAAAAAGTAAGAAGTCTTTTTTGACATAAATAAATACAGTTCTTTTTTTGACATAAATAAATACAGTTCTTTTTTTGACATAAATAAAATATATAATAAAACATTTAACTTTCAAATGTTCATATATTCGAATGTTTTCCAAGTTTCAAAAAATAAAAATTAATAAAAATTAATAAAATAAAAATAAAATATTAAATCTAATGTCAAGATATTAATAAATATATATGAAAATTTTTATTGAATTAAAATGCATTTATACATTTATAAAAAAATCAAAATATGAATATATATATATATATATATATATTCATATGTATATATATATATATATATATATATATATATACTTGTTATAACATTTACTAAATGAAATTAATTTTTATTCAAATTTTATTTGTATGTGAAAATTGAAAATGTAATGAATATTTTAATTTTCAATTATTATTTAATTTCTAGTCGATTGATTTTTTGAATTAACTTTAAATCATTTGAGTCTTATTAAATGTGTCAATTCATAAATAATAGTATTATTATATTTTTCGATTTTTTGAAATAAATAATAAAAATCATGGCTTAGTTTAAAATGTAATTGGTATATAATATGCAATTCAATCTTTTCAATATATACCTAAAAATTTGATTGTAATTGAAAATTATTGATAGATTAAATAGAAAGAATATAAAATATCGCTTATAAAAACCCTTTTGCTAAATAAAATTATATATTATTTTACATAGTGTGTCAATTATAAATAAAGTATTATATCTTATATATATGTTATATTTAGTTAGTATTGTTTTAAATTTCAATTTATTGTTTCAATTTAAAAATTAAGATTTGAAAATTCAAAAATTTAAAAAATTCAAAGCTTTAAAAAAATAGTTTAAGTTAACTTAGAATAAAAATAAATTAACTTAGAATTTCTAAAATTATCAAAACAAAAATTATTAAAATATTCAAAAACATTGAGGACTACTCTTTTGAAAAGAAAATTATCTATGTCAAAATTCATAAAATGTCTTCGAATTTCGTAGGATAATTAAAGATAAAAAAAGTTCAAACTTATTTCATATTTATAAAATTATTTAAATCAAAAATGCATGTTTAGTTGAATCTTTTCTTTCATATTACATATTTACATTACACATTATATACATTTATAAAATGTATAACTAATAAGAGTCATTCGATTCTCTCAACAAATATCATTATTGAATTTTTTAAGATCAGATGTCTTCTACATAATTATAATATAATATATATAATACACTGTAAGTATTGATGTATTAACGACAGCTTTTTTATGATATTCATTTTAATATGTCAGATTATCGAATTTTCACATAATTTTAGTTTGATTTTAAATTTTCATGAAATTGTTAATTAAAATTCAAAAAAATATGGTACATAATAATATAGATTTATTATAAATAATAATTCTATCTATATAATAATATAAATTTTGAGAAAATATTAACAAAATATTATCAAAATAATATCAAATAAGATAGATAAAATTTAATACAATAATTTTGCATTTATTTTCTAACAAACTTTAAATGAATAATCTGTTACTTCCATATTTAAAAAAAATATAATTTATATTTTAATGTGAACATAAAAAAAATACATATATACATACATATATACATATATATATATATATATTGTAAATTATAATATAATACAATATAATTATAATATAATATAATATAATGTAATATAATATAATATAATTATAATATAATGTAATATAATATAATATAATATATAAAATAAAATATAATAAATAAATAAGATATATTATTATATATAATATATAATTTAATATAGTATAATATAATAAATATTCAATATTTCTGCAAGATTTTCATTTCAATTTAATTTTAGTTTAGTTTCTCAAATGATTCAACTTTTTAACTATATACTTATGATCGATAATTTTCTAAAAGGAATTTGCTATAAAAAATTCGCTATTTTTTTAGCTATTTATTTCCATGTAACTTTCATTATTTATTTATTTTAGTTATTTATTTCTTTAGATCTTAATTTTTTGAAATAAGCTGTGATAAGATGTAATATTTCTATATTAAATTCATAAAAGTTATATTTGTAAATTTTTAATTAAATTGTTAATAATAAAAATTCTTTTATTTCGGTTAATATCATTTATTGATTTATTGTCATTAATGATTTTAATTAATTAGATTGACCAAAATTTGTCTAATGTAAATGCAGTCTTAAATCAATTCTATAAGTTAAAAAGTCGCCTAATATGAATACAATCTTAGTTGCACAGTCAACAAATAAATTCAGTCAATGTAAATAAAATCTTATAAAAGATAGCAAGAACTATATTGAAATGGATTCAGTCTTTATTCAATAACATTTTTCCACGGACCTGCTTATGGAATTATTCATTTATCACCAATAATGAATTACAAATGACTATGAATCTTATTGTGTACTATATAGTGGAACATTGAGTTTACCTGCGACAATATCCAATATCCCAATTAGATTTTTTAAAATAGGATTATTAAAACCCAATGAGTGCAATTCATTGGAGATCCCAGAATAGTTGCGCCAATATCATGTCCATTTTATTGGATCTATTGAAATGCAGATCTACGAATTTTAATCCAAACAGCATTAATTTCTCACTTAATCGGAATGATTTTCTTGATATATTTCCAATTATGTTTGGTAAAATGAAATACGAAATAGTGCGATGAAAACCATTATATCTCGACGCTATTTCTAAATACTATATTGTATCTCGCATGTGGAACCCATTATTCTCACAATGCATATGTTCGACTCGGTGCAAAGTAAATAAGCCAAATTTCTTTACCATTCCATTAATTATAAAATTTGATTGAGAATCTGAATTCAACAATGCTTTGCATTCGTGTCTGAGTCTATATTGATCTTTTACAATCATTACAATCATTACCGTGGACAAAATTATTGTTCTGGCCAGTAATTGCAAAAAATATGATAGGGTTATAGATTTTGTCTATTGCCTCTTGTTTATTTTCCTTTGTCTGTTGTTGTCGGAAGTGCAATCAATACTAAAGAATCAATTCGTATTTTATTGTTATTGCTATGTTCAACATATAGAAGAATATTATGTTTCTTACTTTTTCAAGAACTACACGTACATTCTTTGTTTCGGTATCCATTCTTCAGACAATTAAAATACGCGCCTATTTTTGTATATGTGCGATCCATGCGCTTGGAGACAATTTTTTAAATTCAGGATATTGTAGGAGCTTGTATGATTTATTGCACAAGAAACAAGGAATTTATGAGGTTGCAATACATGCGACTACCTTTCTCACTCGGGTTCGAATACCTGCATTTATGATCTATGGTTTGGAAGACTGTAGCAGTGATTTTTTTATCTCTCTAGATACCTATATTGGGTTTCCAGAAATTTTGTTAAATTTGATAATTTAACGTTCTCAATAATCAATTGAGTCTTTTTCCATTCTCTTTTCATCACTGTGTCTAGTTTACTTGTCATCAAATGAATAATGATAGTCGCAAGAATCCCAGGCTCTTCTAAAGCTTGTAATGTCATAGATTATTGTTCGTGTCATCTAGTAACTCTCAGTTCATAAAATGATTCCTTATTCGATAGATATATCCCAAAGAATACGTATGTGATTTTGTTTCAAGAGTTTTTTATAATCAAATTTGTTTTTGAATGCCATTTATGTAATCGTATAATTACTCTCAGAAACATTGAGAGATTATATAAGTCTCGTCGCAACTCTCTTGAGAAAAAATTTCAAATAATGAAATTTTTCAATATTTGTCAATACGTCATTATTGTGTATCAATGATTCAAATGTATCTTTAAACTTCCTTTTTTCACATCAAAATTATAATTTTCATTAAAAGTCGGTAATTCTATTATTGGTAATTTTTATTCTAAAATGTATTTCAGAGCTATTATTTGAAGTTGTAGATATAAGTATGCCGGCAGATACAACCCGAACAGGATCAGATTTTTTAACCCCATTGGGCTATAAAATCCTTGACAATACCCACGATCTCGCAGTACAAGTTTTCAAATTCATCTCGTACTACGGCATGAGGTGCTTCAAATTCTGTATTTTTTATTTGTTGTTTTTTTGTATCAAAGACTTCAAAAATTGAAATTATTTCATTTAATCTTGAATGCGGAGGCACCCAAAGTTCGATCGTATATTTCGAAATATGATCTGAAGCTAATTTATATGAGATGCGTTCTCTAACGAGAGATTTTAATGCGGCATCTATACTATAAAAGAGATGGACTAGTAAAAGAGATATATGCTTAGTAAAAGAGATAGATTAGTAAAGATAGATTAAAATGGTCAAGGCGATGTCATCCAACTGGTATATTCTTATGTTGCATGAAGATGTCCCAGAATTCATTCATTTGCAGTTCAGCAGAAGGCAAGTGTCCTTGCTTTCTTGAAAGTTGAGTGTCTGGCAGATGTCGAGTAGGATGATGTATTTGACTACAGTAATCTCAAGATGTTAAAATTCTTAAGTTGCACCAATAGCATGACAAATTTTTACTTCACACTTTATAAATTCTCGGTTAATATGTGTATCGGTTAATATCTGTATTCGGCTCGAAAACCAGAAAAAATATTATTAATATTAATAATAAAATATTAACTTTAATCTATTTCTGGAACTATGGTACATAGCGATAAAAATGATTATTATATAATTATATATAAAGTTTGCTGTTAACAAGTTTAATTAACAAGACGATCAAAAGCAAAATCCATATGTTATCATTAAGATTGCAAAGTTACAAATTCGCAAAAAGTTGTTCAAAGTTAGAGAATTCTTAAAGTTCGAAAGATCCAAAAAGTTCTAATGACTCTGGTAGATCTCCAAGTTCTGATAGTTCAGAAAGTTTCCCCAAAACGCTGATATTCTCTAAAGCTCCCTGTTTATCTCGCCAGCTTGCAGATCTTCAGTGGGGTACATTATCTAATAACAGTAGATCAACCCCCAATCTAAAGAAAATTCCTAGAATGAGTTTGAGGGATTATGCCACTCATAAGTCCGTTGTTTTTCCAGGAAATTGTTTCGCACGTGTTTGCAGTATTTCTTCTCAGATAGAATGATATTGATTGTCGTTGAGATTGGCATGGTTGGAAGTTTCAGACTCCAGGACTAGATTGACACTTCAGCCATGTCGAATTGTTTCTACAATATACAAAGTGAAAGATTATTAAATTTTTGTCTCAAAAACGGCATTGTTCTTGCAGCATCAACCTGTGCCATCTATTCAATGTTTGAATACTATGTGTTCAATTTGAATAATTATTACTGTTTAAGACAAAAAAAAATGAAGAAAAAATGACAACAAGATGCAATTTGATGATTCCTATATTTTTTTTATTTCTCTATTTCGTTAATGATTTGACGGACTTGAATCAATTTGAAATTCATAAATCAATTGAAGCATCAATTGAGAAACTTTTGTTTTTATTTCACTTAAATTCAATATTTTTTATTCCGATATGAGATACTAAACAAAAAGTTGAAATTCGATATTTATATTTTAATATAATATTAATGTCACTATCTTATATCTAAAAAAATCATATAAGCATTGCATTTTTCTTTTTCACATTATTATTAATTACATATTACATATTAGAATTACATATTAGATTTTTTTTATTCACTATTCACGTTAATTTCTTTGAATAAAATTATTTTGATTATTATTTATTATTATATAATATAATTTTATATGAAAATTATTTAATTAAAATTTTATTTTAAATAAATATTCAAATATGTATTATTTCATCAAATTCTGAATTGATTCCGCGACGCGACAATGTGTTACTGATATAGCGTTGCTAACAATTGGATGCTAGGTGTTAGAAAAAGAGTCTTGAAAGACTTGATAGAAAGAAAAAATGAGATAATAATATTCGAAATCGAATGTTTGTATATTTTAAGTATAAGAATACGAAAATCTAGATCAATAATCTTTTTCGTTACTAAGATAATGTGCTTTGTTCTGGATTCAATTCGTTCGTAACGTTCATGTAACGTATATGAGAAATAAAAGTGTAAAAATAAAATTAGTAAATTTGTAATATTCATTCAAGCATATATAAAAAAAAAAAACAATTGCGATATGTATGCTTTTATGGATATGTGATATTAATATATAATATTGATTCATATTATTAATAAGTGATATCCAGATCGATTATTATTTCTTTCTTCATAAGAATGAAAAATATTTAGTGTAAGTGAAATAAAAATAAATATCAGTGATTTGATTGGATAATTTAATAATTTAAAATTCAAATTGATTCAAATATTTCGGATTTTCTTATACATGTGAAAATAATTAAAAAAGCAATTGTGTATATAAAAACATATTTCTAATTCGAAATCTTACAGAAGTGTGTTTTGATTTGCTTCTATGGATTTCGATAATGGTACGTTGAACGAAATACGATTCATTTATAATTTTAAATTAAATAATGTATAATCATCATATAACTCCAAATATTGTGGAATTTGCTATAATTTATCTGAGGTAAGTTTTTGTTAAATAACTAATTACATAGATTTTAATTTGCATAATTAAATTTTTTTTTAAATGACATAAAAGTATTTCATAGTTACATTACACGATATTTATGTATATTGTATATTATCTTATATTGAAATTCATTTGAAATAATCAATTGTATATAAAAAAATATTAGTATATTTATTTTCATTGAGGGACTGCGCTAAGCGACATTGTAATACGGTACTGCTGCGCATCCAGCTGAGCGTTCTCGCTCTTTCGCCGTCTCGCTCTATTTAATACAAACTTAAAATGCTTATAACTCGTTATAATTAAGCCTTATCGGATATGTGTATATGAACTTTTTTCATCGTTTTGATGTCTAGAATCCATCCTCCAAAGGTGTCTCACATGTTTATTAACACCTTGTATATATAATGATTATTTAATAAATCTTAAGAAATAAAAATTGAAATAAGAAAGATGAAATTCTAAACTGATGGAAAATATTTAATAAAGATAATTATCTCTTTGTGTAATCGATAATTGCATTAATTCTAATGTATATTCGAAACGTAATCAAAAATATTCGAAATAAAAATGTAATTTGTTTAATCTTTTCTATCGTAATATTTTTAATAATTTATCTGTATCTATTATGAGTTATTTATCAAATAAATATATATTGTTATAGTAAAAAATAATAATGAAGAAAATAAAAATGTATATATTTTTCATATGAAAAATCAAATGTTACTATCTGATTAGTCATTGTGTTGAACGATTTTTGAAACGATTATTCATATTAAAATTTCTTTTTCCTGCTTTATAGTAAAGTAATAATCTGCAGAAAAAATAATAAAATTTTTAGAAATTTTTAGAATAAATATATAAAATTTTTTTAAAAATGTTTTAATGTAATTGTATTAAAATAAGCTAATAATCAAGCTCAATATTTTAGAAATTGATAATTTCATGAATAATATAATAGCTTAATAAAAAAAAATTAAATAAATTATTTCTCCTGAAAAAATTATCAATTACAATAATATATAATAAATAATATTATAAATTATTGAATAAATTAAATAACAATATATAGGAAAAGATAATATTATCTTTTCCTATATATTGTTATTTATATATATAATATATAGGAAAAGTAAAATAATCAGGGAATATAATAAAAAGAAATTACACGATAAATTAGTTACTTGAAGTGAAGCATTTAAAGTCACGATTTTTGACGGAAGAATGATATCTCACACTATGATTTTAATTATCGAATTGGACAAGGAAGAAGATATAGTTCGGCAACAAATCGAAATATATCGAACGATATACAGTCATGAATCATCAATTATCCGAAAATAAAATATTTTCTACCTTAAATGTAATATCAAAATAAATATAAAAACGATACATTTTATTCTAAACAGACAGAATTATTATAAGAAACATTCTTAGCTTTGAAAAATCTGAATGCTAACATTTAATATATGAGAATATATATGAAATTGATTGACAACAATCTCGTCTCATTATTTTTATTTCTTAATTACTTTATATATGATTAAAAAACAAAAGAAATTGAATAATTAATGAAAAAGAAATAATAATTACTATTTTCTATATATTTTTATTTATTATATTATATATCTTTATTTTTAAATAAATCAATTTAGATATTTTTATCATATTTGCACTAAAATTGCATAACCTATTATATTTTTGAAATCATTCTATTAATTATCTAATCTCCAGTTTATTTAATTAAATGATAATCTCCACAAATATAAATAGAAATTAGAACCGTAAAACCAATTTTACATTAAATGTTAAAATAAAATAATAACTAAATTCAAATCCGTCATCGGATATTTTTAGTATGGATTATTGACGATAACGAGAAAATCAATTCAATTTCAAATATAATAATATTGTAAAAAATGATTTAAAACATATATATTAATTTAAAAAAAAACACTAATAATCTACAAATTAAATCATCAAATCCAATAAATATCAAATATATCTATATCGATATAACGCAATTCCTCTCTATGATTTTTGACAATAGACTAATGCCATGCGCACTGATTCGTCTTAATGTTGAATTTTAATGGTTTCCTGATTGGCTGAAATGGCACGGTTTCTTATTCATTTTAGTCGCGCGAAAATTGAAATATATTTCAATTGATAATAATGAATAATTAATAAAAAAGTTTAAAAAGAAATTGATTATAGGAATCAAATATATAATAAATAAAATTTAAAATATAGGAAAAGAGTTAAAAATAAATTAAAAACAAAACAAAAAAACAGAAGAAAAGCATAAAATCATATAAAACTGAATAAAAATTATTATATATTGAAATAATATAAGAATTCTTTCAATTGGTTTTAATATAGCAAAAATTAGAAATTTTATTTCATCATATCGTGATTATTTTCAATTGATTGGCGATTTTAGTTTATGATTATAATTATTTTTAATATTAATAAATTATATTTAAAATATTTTGATATAATTTAAAAATTAAAAATTAATAAAAATAGAAAAAAAAATGTAAAAATACATTTAATTTGTATTTATTTGTATGTAATACGTAAGAATATATTAATTTTTAAATATATTATTGTAATATAAATTAATAACAAAAATCTAACAATAATTGAATTGAATTATAATAGAAAAATTATTTTTCGCAACATGAACAAATAAAATATATTCAAATCCAATCGTTGTTACCTTAGGTCGTGCCGCGATTTCAGAGAAAAAAGATCATGATTTAAGAATCACTTTCTTGATCAAATTTTTGTAAAAAATACATCGAGTTCAATTTTTACCTAAATTTAATTCTTAATTTGATTTAATTTTTAACTTTTAATTTTATTTTATTCTAACTTTCAATTTTTAATTTATTGATTAATTTTCGATTTTATCTTTAAATTTCTTAATTACTTTAATTTTTAATTTTTAATTTTATTTTAATCTAACTTTTAATTTAAAAAAAACTTTTATTTTTTAAATTAATTTGATTTTAAATAAATTCTAATTTTTTATTTGCGTTAGCTATTATTATAAAATTATTGTTCTATTTAAAGAAAATTTTTTACAAGAATGAATTTAAAATTTTTCCAATCCCGAAGAAATTTATATATTATATTATTATAATATATTTATTAGTATTATATTTATTGTATATTTGTTATTATTATAATTATAATTATATTTTATAAATTTTATAAATTATAATAATTATTATAATATATACATATGTTGACTGGATGGTGATTTTAGAATTTAACAGAAAAATCAAATAACGATCACAGATCTCTGAGGAAAATGAAATATTAAAATCTTATTCAATTATATAATCTTATTCATCAATCAATTACACATATATTAATCTAAATAGTAAATTTACTAAATGCTTTATGTTTTTTAATGGATTAAATGTTGCATGATTATTTGAATTTTAATTTAAATTCAATTACCACGATTTAGCAGAAAT